GTTGGCTGAAAACATATTATGGAAGATGTGTACTAGCTGGCACATCAGCTAATCTGCCTGAAGTATTGTACTCATGTCCGTCCTTTTCACAGACAGACTGAACGGCAGCCATCCTAGATTGATAATGTAGAACTTAACTCACTTCTACATATATCAATCAGGCTACTGCCAGGTTAAATCCCAACAGCTTTCTGATAATGTCATTTGCATTGGGGCCCTGGGTGTACATGGGTTTATAGGGCAGCGCAGTAGTGCTGGGCAGCACAAAACGTTAAGAGATGTTCATTTTGTTGTCCCACCATGCCATTCTTAAATGCAGGGGCAGCGACAGCATGGGCCACTGAGCCTGCAGCTTAATTAAGGAAAGCAATAATGCCTCAACTGCACTTAGAATCTAGGTTAGGCCTGTTATGGATGCTCAGCATTTGCTATTCTTCCACTCAGGCAGAAGTAAAAACACGTCTTCTGCAGTTATTTTAGGGATGTATGACAGCTGCACATGCCACAGTGGTTCTATTCCAAAACAAAAGCCTGGTACAAGTAAACACATGTCATTTAACCAAATTCAAAAATATTTTTTGATCCCAAAATGACAAAATTGTTTAAATAATTACATTATCCGATTTTGGGCCCATATAAATATTTTTTGCCTATTTTTTATTGAGATATGTAGGTAATAACGTTTTGGTGCCTATGAACAGTTGTTATTTGGCTGGGTTGGATCTGTTCATTCTTGCATAGTTCAATACTTAGTCCTAAAGCTTATGTGCAATACATAACCTACACACTTCTGGATAACCTTGTCTTCCCCAACATTAATTTTCTTCGACAGTCATCAAAGGTCAGATTGAAGAGCTCTGGGACCTTAAAATGGAAACTTATTTAGCTCTGCTCTCTTGAGACAGTTTCAGCGTTGAATCTGATATAGTCAGGCAAAAAGAAATTGTTGAACTAGCCAAGGCACACTTCATGGGACCTGTCATTGTGTTAGATATTTTGTATTTGTATCCTAGGTTCCCTTTTACACATAGCTTGAAATTTTATTAACAAAAAATGGGAGATGAAGAGCAAAACATCAAGAAAGAATGATAATTTCAATGTTTCTTAATTCAAGCTATATCACTCTATCACCTTATCCACACTCCTTTATCATCCACCTATGTTTGCCTTAGGAAACAGGCTAAATTTATATCTGTACTGTTAATGTGGTTCCATTCGATTTCAAATAGCTTCATTTACTGCTTTATAACTTCAAGATGTTGTGGCCTTACCTCTATTCAAAGCAAATATGGGTGGATTGGGACTCAAACTACTTTTAATGTTCCATAGAACCAGACTCAACACCAACTATTGTATACCTTATCTGCCTGCTTTTCTTAAATGATAAATCATCCCTTAAGGAAATGACACAAAGCACTACCATTCTAAATTAAGACCAAAGTACATAACCTAAACACCCTTTTCTTTTTGGTGATTTTATATAAATATTGCAAAATTCAGTCTAAAAAAATAAATTTTCTTTTTTTCTATAAGTCACATCATCTGTGAAATTTAACTGTAAAGTTACACACTTATATTTAGCATTTTTTACCAAGAGATTATGAATATATTAATATCTAGAACTGGAATTTCAAATCAAGAGTAAAACCAAGTAATAATTGTTAGCTAAATGATTATAACTGACATTTCTGCTCAAATAACAGGGGTTATTAAAACTGCTTACCTTTGTTGATAGGCGTTTTGGAGCAGCTGTTAAATGTCTTCTATGTCTTCCCCATTAGTTAATATCAATAATTTTAGTAAAAAATGTATTAGAGTTATTCATAATTAACCACAGGGGGAATATTTTTCTCAGTCTATTGAAGTTGTTAACTCAAATGAAATAGATCCAGCTCTTAGAGACAATCATTCACTGCTCTACAAATAATCACAGATAACCACAATTAAAACAAAGGGGGTGCTTTTATGAATCCTTATAATCCCTTTGACAGTATTACTATATTTAAAAAAAAAACGATGCAATACTGGAATAAGCACAGGGTAGGTAAAACAAGTAAACATAAATAGTTTAAATGAGTCCTTCAGGTAGAGTTTTTGGTCATCTTCAGTTCATCATCTCAGCTGTTCTGATGCACTGTTGGAGTGTCCATCAGATTAGCAGCATAAATGATATACAGGAAACAGATGTTTAAAAGTTGTGTTTGGTAATGGTCATATCAAACGGGTTTCAGCTAATCCACAGCTAGCAACAGCTAACAGATAGGCCACAAACACACTCCTGCAATCAGGTTTATTCTTGTATATTAGCAGCTAGGCCAGGATGGTAACCACAGGATAAGAACCATACGTCAGACTGGGCTGACACCGTCATAATAAAAATGAGTTCATAAAACTCGCTGTCATTCACAAGATGGCCGACACACAGACGCATTTGAGTGGGGAGCTCTCTTCGCAAAGCATTCCAGGATATATCTGCTTGTCTGGTGACCATGAATGATCACTACTTTTCAAGGTGCATTACAACTTTTTCTTCCATTAGACGTTCAGACACTCATTATAAATGGTGTAACCACTATATAGTGCCCTATATAATGATTAAGGCAGACATGATCTAACTTAAAGATGGTCCAAACTGAAGTGTGAAGAAGAAATAAATCCTTGTTCCAGAGTCCCAAACATTTCTCTGCTAAAAATGCACAATCTAATCTTGAAGGATTTTTATTTATCTATCTTTTCTCTATATACTTTTTTACCGGCTCCAAATGAAGCACTCTTATATTTTTTTAAACTGTTAAGGGCCTACCTTGGTTACAATGTTTTGCATCAGGCCAGGGATGTGAAGAACTTGACGGAGGTAAATACGGCTGTTTAGAGCTTCAGGCTGTCAGGCACAAGCAACTTATCCAACTTTTATGATCGATATTATATCTTGAAGATTTTTTTTTTCTTCTCTTTAAAATGTTTTTCCAATTGTGTCAGAATTAATATGTGTGTTATTTCTCTTTATTTAATTTTAAATTGCAGCCCCAAGCTTTGAATTTTCTTTTGGCTACTTTGCACTTCCAAACTACCAGTACTAGACACAATTTCTTCATTCAACTTCTCATATTTGCTGATAGTCCTTTGATCATTTGTTTTAGAGTAACTTCTTCTAAGCATCTGTTAGGAGCAAGAGATAAGCTAAAAAGAGATAAGATGTGATTAAGACAGGTTGAATAAAAAAAATCTATTTAAGCAGTACCTTAAAGGTGGGATAAACAGAGGAGGTCTCACAGGTGTGTGCCCTTGATCTCAGTTATGTCCTGGTCATTTTGAAGGATAAATATTCAATTCAATTCAGTTTATTTATAGCACCAATTCACAACACATGTGATCTCAAAGCTCTTTACCATACAACCAGATCATACTGTCAAATTGACTCAAAGTTTTCTAAAGAAAGAAAACCAGTTGATTGCATCGACTCATTGACCCGAAGGCAATACCTCACACTAAGCATGCTTGTAGTGACAGTGGAGAGGAAAAACTCCCTTTTAACATCTCCAGCAGAACCAGGCTCAGTGTGAGCAGCCATCTGCCCGAGGCTGACTGGGGTTTAAGCAGACATACAGTAAAAGCAGAAATACAAAATGCAACTGAAACCAGCTCCACAGGCGGCCCCGTCCAGGAAACACACAGCCAGGCAGACGAACTCTGAGCCAGCTCCCATTTCAGGGGATAAAGAGAGCACATCCAGCCGGTCCCAGTCAGAGAAACAGGACTAGGCTGAGAAATAGGTGGAGTTCCAACATCTATAAACAAAGGTGTTGATGGCAGCAGCACAGCTGATATTTCTCTCCAGGATGGTGTCACAGCCAAACAGGAACAGACCAGATGAAGCTACAATGAGAAAAAGCAGACAGAGCATTGAACAGTTAGAGATTGAACTAACAATTTCTGTAGAGTGGGAGAATAGAGATATTATATTAATATTATTATTAAATTATGAGAATAAGATGAGATGGTCTTTACATCAGCCATTCAAAGCAGCGCTAGTGTATTATACCCTATTATACCCATTCTGATTAAAAAGCTGGTAAAATAAAATACAATTTCCTAAAATGTATCTAATCTAAGCGTATTTATGAATGTTAGATATGAATGATAAAGTATTGATAATATCAATAGTACCAAAGGAAATACTGTACTATTTATCCTGAATCCCAATCATACACATGCCTCAACACTTTGCTGTAAATACAAAATATGTGAATATGAAAATATGCTTTTATTGCATTTGCAAGCTTGTTTTGATCCTTCTTCTGATAACACCTGATATGTCCCCAATTGACTTTCCCTTTAACAGCCGAAGAAGTACCTGGTAAGCGGCAGGCCTCATTACTGTAAAATACAGATTAGCAGGAATTTTAATTATTTGTAATGTATAATTCACCACTATATCTCAAAAGCAATAAAATATATTGCTTTCTTTGCAAATTATAGAGCTGTTTTTTTGTTGCTTTTTTTAAATATTTAATTCACAGTTTCATTAAAAGTTGTTAATGTGAAGACTACTCTTAGGTGCCAAATAGTCACATTGATAGCTCTTCTTAGAGCAGCATGTTAAAATCTCTAAATGTACTGCATTCTTATTTACTTTGCTTTTTAATTAATGATAATAAACAAAGTAATTATTGAGGTAGACTGGTGGGTCCTGCCAACGCTTAGATAAATCAAGTGCTATTAGACCTGTCTACATACAAAGCATATTGGATTGCATAATTGCCATTTGTTACTAAACAAAAAAACACACACATGAACATTTCCATGGAAATTTAAATTGAAAAGGATTGGGTAAAATGTGGCTTAAAGTGAGCAAGGGTAACCTACCAGATTTATCTGATTTGTGTTTTTAATTTGTCATTTATCTTGTGTGAAAACAGGATAAGTGACCTATTCCTATACAGGTTTAGTTTTACTAACCCATAGGCTGTGCTGCTTTTTTCTTTTCTCTCTGTTTGCAGGTTTACTGGTCCAAACCTTCCCTCACCTATCATTAGCAGCAAGAACTGGCTTCGACTTCACTTTACATCAGATGGCAACCACAGGTTGAGAGGCTTCAGTGCTAATTACCAGGGTAAGATCAAGTGCTCCACAATGTTTAAAAATATTGCATTAGCAATTATCCTACACATATTCCTAACTGTTGGTAGTATATTCAACCTAATAAATGAACTATTTAGAATAAGTCATGGTGGTTGATAGGTGTTTTTTTTTTGGTAGGTTCCAGATTTCAGAGTTCCAGTTTTTCAAAGACCTGAACATATAGATCCTTACTAAAATTTTTATAATTTTGTTATAAAATATCAAACAGGTAAGAATAAACTCAGTTACGCACTGTAAGTGTTTAATGAAGGGCCAACCGTAAATATATTTTAAATTTTGAGCAACGGTTATCAGAAACCTTCTGCCTTTATTTATGTAAATCCTTAAATACCACTTCAGAGGCAAAAGGTGTTTGATTAAAAAACAAATATAAATGAAATATTCAGTATTTTTTGCTATAAAAAGTTTTTATTTTTTTAAGTAGGATAGTTGAGGATAGTCAACATTTCCTAGATAGACCTAAAAAAAATGTTAAAATGACAGATTTTTGAAAAAAAAAAGTGCTGATTTACAGTTCTACATTGATTAATCAATTGTTAGATTATTGTTGTGTAAAAATATTTCAGGAACCATCACCAACTTGCAATCTTAAAGAACTAAATTATTACTTTGTACATGGTAAACTTAATCATACTGGTAGCAAAGTTTTGGGTTTACATAGTGAATTAAACCTGAGCACACCACCCTTTAGATATAAGCTTTATCTTAGTAAACTTGGCAAAAAACATCAATCCAAGATGGACATCTTTCTTTGTTTAGTAGCCTTTTAACCATCACTACTCGATTTATATATATATATATATATAAGTATATATATCTGTGTTATAATATATATAAGTATATATATCTGTGTAACTAGCAGGGGGCACCACTGAGAAGGGATGAGCTCTGAGATTTTCTATTCTTAGGATCTTACCTCCAACCATCCACCACTGAGATAATCGGAAGGGGCCAGAAGAGAACTATGAAAACAGAAATGAGAAACATCCAGAATGTAACCTACATGATCCAAGCCTTTTCAGTTGTAGGTTAAATATTTGATAAATGATTTTAAAAAAAAATTAACAAGACCAAACACAGGCAGAAAAATAAGGAATTTTACTATTGTAATTTAAATACATAAAATAAAACAAAGCCATATAAGTTTAAGTCTCTGAAAAAACCTGGAAGCTTTAATTAAAATATAAATGAGCTATTAAAATTTTTTGAGACCTAAGTTCATACACTGCTTTTGCATGACCTCAAAATATTTTCTGAACTCATTTATATGTTATTTTAGTTCATAGAAGATATCTGTAAGGTTGGTACTGAAATATGTTAACTCAGTAAAAACTCCCTCTTTGTGAAATCTAGCTTTACACATAAATTAATGGGTTTACTGTTTAAAGTCCTAGCTGAAAGATCTCACATAACTTTCTCTGTATTTCTTAAATTGGGAATTGTCATATTCAAAATCTGAGAAATTATGAATGTGCTAATGTCAAATGTTTCCTGTAAGGTTCTTATGTGCCCTGAAGAATTGAACAATGACATTTGAAATAATCTTTGTGGATACAGTAGGTGTGGACATAAAATAAACACTGAGGCAAAAAATATGCCATCCATCCATCCATCCATCCATCCATCCATCCATCCATCCATCCATCCATCCATCCATCCATCCATCCATCCATCCATCCATCCGTCCAGTAGGCTGTAAAAAGAGGAAGCTAATAAAAAAAATCCTCTCTATGTGTCATGTTTTAATTATTTATTCAGTTTAGAACTTTATGACTGTTGCAATAAGGTTCTGCTTTGTACTTCCTTCCCTTTAGTTAAACCTCAGCTGGTGTAATTAGGGACATCCCCTTTTCTTCAATAAATAGCGAGGAGAAAGCTGAAGACTGCAGAGTGGGGTGGAGATTGTAAACTCCGCAGTCTCTTCTGACTCTCCTCGAGAGTAACTAAATTAATTGTCTCTGTGCCTTCTTTCTTTCCCTGTATGTATGTATGATGTTTTAGGTGCTTAGACCTGACACCATTGCTGCAGTTTAACAG